TAGGTCATGGCTGAGGCCAGTGGTAAGGCAGTGAAGTGAAGCACCCCAAAGAGAGTAGGCTTATGAATTGCAGAAGAAAAAGTTTTCACAGCTTCCAGTCCATTAACTCTCCTGTACACTAATAATCAGCTAGTTAAAGGCGGGACTGGGTGGGCTTGTGGGTACAAGCCCAGAACTGGAATAGCATAAGAGATGGATTCTGGGACTAGTTCTGATATTGACTTCCATGTGACCATTGGCAAGTTATGACCTTTCTGGTCTTCAGTTCCTTCCCACTGTAAAATGGGGATAATATTTTCCCTACCTCAGAGGGATATCACATGAGCTTAATTCATTACAGTGTGTACCATTCTCTCACATCCTTCGCCTAAAGATGCTTAATAATAAATACAAAACATTATTATTATTATTATTAACAGCAACAAATAAAATAAGTCGATAAAAGGTCTGTTTCAGAAACAAAATGTAACTGTTTACAGCAAGAGATTGAGATATCTGTCAAATGCCAAAAAACCCTGGTGCCACATAAATAAAATCAAAGTGACTAGTTCCTTCCAATCCTAATTTTTAAATTCCCCACTAACTTTCTCCCATTCATCTCTTTTTTCCTTCAGTATTGGCAGCCCTACTGGGTCTGGTGTACATGTACAACCGTCACAAATACTTCCATGGATATGCAGAGTCTGCAAAAGGAAGGTAAGGAGGACTCACCATCTGTGCTTAAGTTGAATGCTCCAGGTTGTGGTCTGAAGCTGGGCTTATTGCCAACAACTGGTAGTGAAAAGTGACTATAATTGAATGCAACATGTGTAAAGTGTCAGCAAGAGGTCTGAAATGAAAACCCTCAGGGAAGGTAGCTGGCTGCTGCAGCTGAAGCCTAGGTTAAAGTGTGAATGTGTTATTGGTCGCAAGAGACAGGAGGTTTGATGGTCTCAGTGCAATGCCTTGTGGGTGCCTACTTTGCACCACAGTGTCTAACAGGGTTGGCATATGTGCACAGAAGAGGCCCAGAAATAGAAAGCCTAGAGCTTTGCAGGCCAGGATTGCACTACATAGGGAGACTGTTGAGGCAAAGCTTGCCCAGAACCTGCCTGGCTTGTACCACTGCTAGCATTTCCTCCGTTCATTAATAGTAAAATCATTGTATTAACACATTTATTATGCAGACCACACAAAATACACAGTGGGAACGAGCACGCAAATTTGGCCTTGTAGCTAGAGGAACTTTCACCAAACACGAGATGAGGAGGCTTTAGATAAGCACAAGTTAATGAGCGTTAAGCTTACAGTGTTTAAACTACTCTTCTAAAGGCTTGAGTGTGCAGAAATGTGCAATAGCTTTGGAATCCATGCAAGATCTCTCTACCTGCCACTCTCCATTTCAAAATCTGGTGCTTCCACTGATTGCACGCATGTGCACTCACACAAATTGTTTCCTCTTTCATCTCAGTACCGTATTAACCCAGATAGGCTAAAGAAACTACCTCATCTATGATGCCTATTTTCTTCTAAAACTGAATACAGTCTGTAAGTAAATCAGACAAGGAAAAGACAAACTCCCCATTCCTGGAGACATTTACAGTTAGACTGGAAGGGGAGGGGGGGGGGGAAAGCACTTTAACACACATTATTAGGGAACAATTCTCTAGTCCATTCCTCCGCTACTAGAGGCCTAACAAAATGTTTTCCAGATCCACTTTCTTGAATCTAACCTCCTGCCTCTTCCCTGCTCCTCAAAATACCCAGTGCCAGTTAGTAGCCCCATTTTGCAAGGCTTCCTTCCTGCCCCTAAGGAATGAGGAAGAGAGACTCCCAGATAAAATGAGACCCTAAAATTTGCCCTTTGTCAGAGATGTAATTGTCAGGATAACCCTCTGAAAAACCAGAAAGGGCCACAGCTATTAAGGAATACTCAAGGAAACAAAGGTATTGCCTGGGTCTATTATTGTACTGGGGTTTGCTCTGTTACCTGGAGGAACTCTTTTTCAGCTCTTATTTAAGCTGAGTTCAGTGCTGCTGTCAGAGGCCAGACTGGCAGCCCCGGAAAATGGAGTTATTCACAAAGGCCCACATCTTCAAGGCACCTAACGGCCATTGAGATCAATGGGAGTTAAGTGCTTAAATATCTTTGAGGATCTGAGTGAAAGGGCCTGTTTCTGCAACCCTTGCCCATGCTGATCAATCCTTACATTCAGTGGGGCTGTTCACAGAAGTACTGCTCAGTAAGGGTTGTAGAATTGGGCCCAAAACATGTACCGGACAGACAGAGGCAGTGCCAGTTTGCCCACTCTGCTAATAGATCTCAACCCGGAGATGACAGCCCTATCCGTAAGAAGGTAATTCAGTCTTCAGCTCTGACTGACAAAGGTGCCAGCTGTAATGAGGATACCTGTCCACTAGAAATTGGACTGAGACCATCCATACATTTTACATAGGCCATTGAACTATCCTCAACTGGTGATGAATTTTGGTCAGTCCCAGTCTGACCTGCATTTGAATCATTAACTTGTTATAGCTGTGAGATTATGTATCCAATTAGCAACCCCGGAGCAATCCAGTTGTAGGACACACTGTACTGTTCCAGTTCAGACTGCCAGCATCGAAATCCCTTTCTCCATCTTGCTCCTTATTGCTAGTATCCTTCTCCATTGACCACTCCTATTTGGATCCCAAAACGCTGCACAACAACGTTCTTTGAAAAATGTTTGGGGGCCCCCTACTGCATCTAGCCAATGCTTGATTTTCCAACATTTCTCAGCCCGCTCTGGGATATTTCACTCTTTTTGAGGAGTGGAAAACTGGTTTGAAAAAGAGCCAACAAAAACTTTGGCTTAAAATTTCCTTCCCATTTGCACGTGAATTCTGCATTTTCTGCCATTGGTGGGAACCAGAAGTACCAAAGGACCATGAGAGCGAATGTTTTCTGGTAATTCAACAAAAGCCACCTTCAGTAAGTATTGATGATCTGTCTCAGCCAATGCTGATCTCACACAGTGCCCAGGGCTTGGGAGAGAGCTGTGATCAGGGGACCTGTGCACAGGGCTGTGAACAAGGAAGTTGAGAGTTTTAATTTCAGCTTTGACTCTGACTCTCTCTGTGAGTTTGAGCATGTCACACAATCTACCTTTGCCTCAGTTTGCCTCTCTGTAGGTAACTGGAAATAATTAGTCCCCTACTTGCCTGCCACACAGGACGCTTTGAGCCTCCCACATGTTCCCATTGCAGCTGCAAAACCCACAATTGTGTGCACAAATTAAGTGACACCACATTAACTCCCAGAGCTCGTAGCATGTGTAGTTATCTGACTTGAACATACAAACCCTAGTTTGCATGTGGTAAGGCTGCAATCTGTAAACATAAGAGGTGCCTGCACCTTTTGGGCAGTTCACCTTTTGCCCAGAGCTTGACAAGTATGCAACCCCTCCCAACACACACACACCTGCAGCAGAGCAGTACTAACCTCCCAGCTTTGTTTGCATGAAAGATTTTTCATATTTTCCTGAGAATTATGAAATTTGGTAACTGGTGACTGTCACAGCATCCACTCACCACAAGCAGTGCCTCCTGGTGGCTGTCCTGGGGATTAGCTCTTCCAATTTGCACTCTCCTTCCGATATTGTCTTCTCCCATCTTGTCTCGCTCCGCAGGCTTGCTAGCTCTCAGGTCTGCAGCTTCCTCTTCGTGGCTTGGCCCCTCCAGCCAGATCACTAAAGTTCCCCCATTCTAAGGAATTCATAGTCTTTCCAGACCTCCTGCCCTTGCCATTTCCCAGTGGCTAGTAGGGGAGCACAGGCCTGCCCTCAACACTGGGTTCCAGGCCAGGGACCCTATAACAAGCAGCCACAGTCCTACCTCTTGCAGCTGTTTCCCTGGGCTTCTTCCTACTTATCTCGCTTTCACTTCTCTGGGTTTGCCAGCTTCCAACTCCTTCCTCACCCGGAATGACTATAACCTACTTCCCTACAGCCTTTCCTAGCAGTAAGCCCCCCTCTCTACAGGGCGCTACCTGGCTTTATACATGCCCTGCCTGTTCCTGCACAGGTGAGCCTGTCATTACTTAGCTGCCTCCAGCCTAAGTCTCCTCTACAGTCTAATTAGCTGACTGGGCCCACCTGGCCTAATCCAGCTCTTGCAGGGCCAGTGTGGGGAGTCCATCCCATCACAGTGACATTTTTCCATTTCCACATCAGTGACTAATTCTTCATGCTGTGATCAATCCCACCCTGGAACAAATTGCAAATTGTCACATAACTACCTCAGGGGGAACATCACCATTTTCAGAGAGGAAAATTTACTAATTTTCCCAGCAAAAATCACTTTCTGGTGAAAAGATCATTTATTTTTCAAACCAGTTTCATCAATGGCTTGTTTTTCTCTGGCACAGCTCTGATCAGCTGGTGTAGACTGAAAAGTTTCAAAAGGCATACAGCATATACATCTTGTAATTGTGTTTCTTTCTGTTTTCCTCCTCTAGGATAACAGGTTTTTATTGGAGTGTGGTGGTTCTGCTCTCACTGATGGCCCTGGCTGCAGCTGGGATTACTAATAGCTTTCTGGAAGAATACTTGGACATCAGCATAGGAAAGAAATTACATAAATTGCTCTGAAGATTATTTATGTATAAATAAATAAAGTAGATGCTTTCCCTGGACATTAAAAGGCAGATGAGCTGCATCATGTGGAATGAAAGCATCCAGATTTCTTTATTAATCGTCCATTTCAATGTAAAGTGCATGTCTTTCCTGACAGTTTGTTCACACTGTTTCTTTCCTATACCACAGAAAAGCAGACACAAAGAATATAGCAAATGTGGATTCATGTTTTGAGTTACATGTTAAATGAACTGGTCTCATGTGTACAATATTGTATGACAGCAAAAATTACATTGAATTCAGACAATGTTAATCCAGTGAGTGGCTTAATTGAAATAGTTGTTGCACATGACAACTATTCTACCCAATGTCCTTCAGCCCTGCCATGGCTGCTGGATTCTTCCTGCTCTGCATCATACTTGGGGCTGAACATAGAGAAACACATGGTCCCTGCACAGAGGCATTTAGAATCTGTGGCCCCAGTCCTGCAAGAGACTCCAGCCCTGATTCAGGAGAACATTTAAGCATGTGTTTACAGTGCTTTCCTGAATATAGACAAACTTCATTGACTTCAAGCACATGATTAAGACTTACTTAAAGTTAAGCACGTGCTTAAAGCCAGTATGTGTTTAAGTCCCACAAAGCGCCTTTCCTGAACAGGGACACTTTCCTGATTTGGGGCCTCTCTATGGGCAGACCCCTGTTTTCGCAGAGAGCCCCACTGAAGTCAATGGGTCTTCATGAGGGAACAGATGTCTGCCAACCTGGAGTCAGTGGCAGGATCAGGACCTAAACCAGACACAGCTAGGCACAGATGCTAGTCAAGCAACTGAATCTATTTCATTGTTTCTCCATAAAGCACAGATGGCTGATGTATGGGAGAGACTAGACAAACGCTCCAGCACTGCCAAAGCTCACAGAGAGTCATAAAATAATAACGAAAGCAAACTGACTGTGAAAACAGTTTTCATTAAAAGGGGGCGGGGAAGAGAGAAAAATCACTGCCTGGTGGGCTTTCCGGGCATGGTGCTGAGGTTGAATTGAAACAGCACCGAAGAAAGAAAAAAGGCAAAGCTGTTAAAGGTCTTTAAATAGGTCTAAATAAAGTTATAGCAGATTCCTGATTATTCAAACAATTTGGGTGACACCAAATCTGTTCAGATAAATGGGAGCTTGTAGGCAGAGAGTCCTTCTGGCACACATCTGCAGCTGGGGTTTGGCCATAAATATTGTATGCACTTAGTTCTGGTCATTCAGGGTACTATGTGGCATTTAGGGCCTAATTCAAAGACCATTGACTTAAACAGATGTTGAGTCAGACCATTAATCATCTTCCACATGATGATCAATTATAAGGTTGGAGCTGAGGCATCCATAGTCACTGTAACTAGATCACTTGCCATATTCTAGCATTGGTGGTGACTGAATAGCGATGAGGTTGCTAACTACGTGTATCCAAAGAATTAAAATTCAACATGGGTGGGGCAGTTATTGTTGCAGAGGGAACAATGATGATGAATAGTCTGTCTTTTGCGCTTTTAAAGGACACTTGCCTTGAAGCCACTGTGGCTGGAGAGATGCCCAAACAGCGTGGCTCCAGGGGGAAAAACAGGAGATATAGGGCCTGATCCTGCACCCACTGAAGTTAGTGAGAGTCTTTCCATTGACTTCAATGGGCTTGGATTTGGTCCACTAAGAAGTAAGAAAAGAGACAGAAAAATCTATCCTACCAGATATGATGCCTCTTGACAGTCACAATCAGAGGTGCTGCCTCCAGGAAAATTCAGAGGGGATGGTAGTAGGGAACCAAATTAAATCATAGTAATGAAGTACTTTTAGAGGACCCACAAAGGCCATCTTTAAGCAGTGTTCAGGCATGATAAACCTTAGCCTTGCATTAGTATGTTTATAGAGAACCTGCCATCCCAAGGCCCCTAACCACTGTACAAAAGGAGCAAAGTGATATACTAACTATATGTACTACACGTCAATGAAATGTTGCCACTTCTGGGATGAAATACAGCAGCTGTTTAACAGCACAGAGCAGCAGTGCTAAAGAAGAAATATGGGACCAAAATTATGGGAGTTATACCTGCTTACTACAGAGCTGAGGTGGGCTACCTAAAATTAGAGAGGCTACCACATTGCCTTTGGATAGTTCACTGATCTACTTACGCAATTTACCAAGCACTGGACAAATACGAACATCCCTCTGAGTAAGTACGTATTATCATCTTCATTTTACATATGGGGAACATAGTAGGTTTATATCAATGTAATTCCATTGGGTTCAATGGAGTGACTGACAGGCCTGGAGACTTTCTCAAAGCCACATAACTTGGTGGCAGTGCCAAGACCAGAATTCAGCAGGGTTCTGAGTCTAGCAGTAGCACATGCTCCTTTCATATTATTTCTTCTATGTTTTACAGGGTAATAACCAGATTCTTGACTGGATAAACTCCAGTACAAATCCAGGGGCTGACCACTCACTCACTCACAAGGAAGGAATTGGATTATTGCTGAGGGCAAATTAAATTGCTACCATCATAATACAAGCTTAAATACACTTAACACAAAATGAGGGCCTGATCCCAGGAGATACCGAGCACCCTCAACTCCAATGAATCTCATTTTGTTTGTTTTTTCAATTTTTCCCCAAACAAAGGAGGCAAAAGCGCTGTACCTCATTGAGTGCCAAGTGTGTGCCAAATATTGAGTTTTGAACTTCAGCTGATTTCAATGTAGCCCTTTTCGAAGAGCGATTTATTTATTTATTTACACGTTGGGAATGCTGTATCTTTTTTACTCTCCCATAACTCAGATAGGACTGAAGCAATTTTGCTCTAACTTTTAATTCAAATAAAATTAAAATAAAGCCTTCAAGCACAGCCCAAACCTGGAAAAAAATTAAGACTTAAAAATGATTTCTTTGGAAAGTGTGAAAATGACTTATAATGAAAACGTTTTTGCAATGTTAACTATAGCTGTTGTTACTGGAGATCATGAAAGCATACCACAAAGTGAATGGTTCACTCTTGTAATCAATATACCACAACAGACTTTACCCCTTTCTTCTTACTGATTGTTACTTTATAGCTAGCCAACCGAATAAAATAACCTTCATGCCCATTTTAAACTCAATCCCTCTTCTTCCTTTGAAGCCCCAAAGATAATAGTGATAATATCCGGATATCATGGTAGGATGAATGTGAGGTGCCATGAGTGAGAGTCCTATAAATCAGTCTTTTCTTTGATTCAGATAACAATCTTTTATTTGTTTTTTGTTTTTCTTTAAAAGTGGTATGTTAACATCAGGTCATTTCTACATTTTCAGAGCTCTGTACAGGTCTCAAAAGGAAATAAGCAATGCTTAATGTACAAAGTAAAAACAGAACACTAGAAAAATCTGAATAAAATGGAGCAAGTTGCTGTCAGGGATACAGTACAAATTAGTAATTAGATGTCATCTGAAGTGCAATACCACTGCAGTGAGGATGAGTTAAGGAATGAAATAAAAATACTCTATTTTAAACAAACAGTATATATATATTTATATGTATATATTTTACAGATAGTAGACCCAGTGATATCTGCAGAATTGTAAAAACCTATTTACAAATAACCTTTTTTTTTTAAACATTACATATACATCAGCACCATAGTAAGAAAAAAACCAAACCTATTAAAATCTACCTCTCTATTACTTGGTCCCAGTATGGAGTATTTGGAGGAAGCTTTACAAAGACAACAGCGACTCAGTCCTCATCAGCAAACTTCCTGTCACCATATACGCGCTAATTCCTGTACCCTTCCAATAAAAGTGAATTTCCATTACGTCACTTTTCAGTGCGTGTGTGTGTGTGTGTTTCTAAATCTAATTTCCCAGTTTGCCTCTCTGAGGATACATCTTCAAAGCAAAATCAGAGCCTGGGTCAACTGACTCAGGCTCACAGGGCTCATGCTGCGGGGCAGAATATAGCCGTGGAGATGTTCTGGCTTGGGCTGCAGCATGGACTCAGAAGCCTAGCAAGGAAGAGGGTCCTGGAGCCCGGGCTCCAGCCCAAGCCAAAACACGTACAAGGCTATTTTCAGCCCCACCGCTCGAGTCCGGCGAGCTCAAGTCAGTTGACCCATGCACTGAGACTCAGCACCATAAGGGGTTTTTTTTGCTGTGTAGATGTATCCATAGTTGACAGGGTATCCTTTGTCACCGAGGCCAGGAAATAATGATGCAGACCAGCCACTCCATCCCCACCATGCTTGGCGTCCTCACTGCTGTATGTGACCCTTGGTTAGCATGGTGCAACTGTCTGACACAGTGCAGGACAAGCATGTACCCTACCCACTCCGATAACATTTACACATAGCACACCAGTGCCAGTTCTAGCCCTTCATCTACCGCCCTTTATGCTAGTATGACTAAGATCCTACTAGCTATAAAATGCTTGTGGTTGAAATCTTCAGTTGGTGCTCACTTTTACAGTATTAGGGCCCACCCTGACGTCCCCTGAAATCAGTGGAAAGACCAAATCCCATGGACTTCAACGGATACTGATCAGCCCCTTCAAGTGTATTATTAAAATGTGTTGGGTAAAACATTTTAACTAATGCATTTTAAAACTCTGGTGTAGCCGGGACACGCTGTATTTTAACAGATTGTTTGGGAATTACCGTAACCAGCTAACCCATGTTAACATACAGCTTGCCCTGTCTACACCCATTGTCCTAGTCTAGACAAGCCCAGCAAAGGGTTACCACACAAGAGTGAACAAGCAGCAGGGCACTGAGTTACCTGATGCTATGTCTACACTGCAGCTGGAGGTGCGATTCCCAGCACACAGACTTGCATGAGCTCAGCTCAAGGTAGCGCATTAAAATAGAGGTGTGGCTGTTGTGATGGCTCAGACTACTAACCCAAGCTCAGACCCCGGGGGGGAGCCATTGCCAGTGCCACAATATCCACGCTGCTAATTTTTAGGACAGTAGCTCCAGTCTGTCTACCCAGCTGGGAATCACACCACCTGGCTGCAGTGTACACATAACCTGAGGGGATAAAGGGTCCATTTTACTCCCATTTCTTGCTCCTGCTCAGACCTGTGCTCCATGCAGAAACAAAGGGCTTGAACCTGTGAGGTACTGAGTGCCCATCCTCAGCTCCCACAGATTTCAATGGGTCAGTGCTTCATACCATGGGGCCTAAACCAAGCAAATGAAGACAAGTCGATTGGTAGGTTTGGATCATTTAAACAATTTTCACTTCAGCAAATGTTTTGGCTCACAAAGATTGGGTTCAGATATTCTGAAGGGCCAGGTTTTATTATTTTAAAAGCACCATTTTGAAAGACATATCACAGTTTTGTTACATGTTCAGCACAGATCTGCATTTAACCTGTCAAGAGATATGTCACTGCTACTGCCTAGCAAGCTGGTTTGGGTAGACCCTGTATTTGCGATAACCAGTAGAGAGCCCCCTCCGTGGTTGATCATTACAACCAGTCCTTTCTTGATTCCTGCTGTTTGGATACCCCAGCGAATTTATCCCGGCACTAGGAAGTTTACACTGAACATCTATTTAAGACAGAAAAGCAGGCTGCATGTAGTATTAAATAAACTGCATGGGCATCCCAGCCCCAAACAACATCTCTAATCTTGCGCATTCAGGAGAAGAAGGGAAACTCATTCAGAGTTCCACACTCTTGTGGTGCATTTTAATGTTCTCCAACTGCTTCCTTTCTTCATTGTCCCTGTTTGTGGGGGCTGCTGCTCGGCTGAAGAAAAGTGAAGTGCAATGGCCTTGTGTTACAGTGCATATTTTTCCCCATTGTTAAGGAAAAATCATGAGTATTATTGGGGAAGGAGGAAGAGAAGGGGACTTGAATTGAAACTGCACAGAACTCTACTGTAATCTGTTCACTCTGCTTAGTCCTTTTACACCTTGTTTAGCTGCTAGCCAACAGTACACTGCCAAGCAGCACAGATGTGCCGAAGCGCCCAGATACAGAAGCAGAGACATGAGCCTAAAAGAGAATTAATAGCTCATTAAGTTAACCCACCCACCTAAGCATTGGGTATGCCCGCTCATATCCACCAACAGTCCTGTACTCAAACCATCCTGCTCTTTGTATTGCCAAGTTTATGTTCTGCTAAGCTTTTATTTTAACTTTTTTATCTCTCTACAGTGAAAATGGTAACCCCTCTATGATTGTTTAGGCTAATCACATGTGCTGGACATTCTTGCACAATAGCCTAGAGTAGGCTCCATAGGCCTTGTTCTGTATCAAATCAAAGAGAGCGGTACACTTTGAAATCTGGGATCTGCTTACACCCAGAGTTCAGCACATTTCTGACTTGTGGACATGGGCTGTGCAATCACCTGGCAACTCCCTTAGGTTTTGTTCCCGGCCGAGGGATCTAGCTCTTCACACGTCCTGAAAGCTGCAGCGGTTACAGTAAAATAGAGTGGGAGAGACTGGGAACACCGCATCGCTGCGCAACAGTGCCTCACCGCACAGAACGCGCCAGCTCGTCCCATGGACAGAGAGCAGCTGCTTTTCCTGCCCTCCCCTCTCTCTCACAGACAGACAGAGCAAGTACTGCTGTGCAGTGGAGATTGCTATGTGGAAGTTTTGTGAAATCGACACGTCGATGTTTTAACCACCACCTGACTCTTCCACAGTTGGCTGCAAGTCAGCTCGGTTTGCACAGATTAAAAAGCAAAAAACAAGGATGGGGGTACATCCTGTTTTCTTTTTTTAATGTAACTATCAGAGTTTTAAACTATACAAGCCCATTCACTATGGGTTTCCAAACAACTCGTCAAGTTCTTGCATCCACTCATCACCTGGTCCACCTTTAATGATGGAGTCCACAAGGTCCGCACCCTCTGCTATACTTGAAAAGGAACCTCCAGCTCCTTCATTACTGTAATTGTAAGACATGTCCTGAGTGGGATTCCTCTCATAGGTCTGACCTTGGTTGCTCTGAGCAAAATTCCCACCTGGCATCTGTTGTGTAGGGGGCTGATTGAAACCAGGCATAGTGGGAACCCCCTGACTTATTGCAGGCATAACCATTGTCCTTGCTTGGCTGGTTCCTTGTTGTGCAGGGAGCTGTTGCAGCATTTGTCTTCCCATTGCTGGATTTAGGGCTCTGACTGTTCCACTAGTGTCCACAACTGACTGGTTAATTCCCTGTGGAAAATGTTGCTTGGGCAGCCTTGGTTGCCCAGACTGCACTGGATACGCCGTGCCATTGTTGAATGACCCAATTTCACTGCTAGTCCTTCCAGGGATACCTTGTAAGCCTCGCTGCTGCCAGTTCTGTGCTCCTTGAGGGACAGTTGCCATCATGTTTTGAAGTCTAGGGGCTTGTGGCCTGGGCAGGACTTGGCCCACAGGTCCTTTCATCTGCTGATGTTGCTGGGGAATAGAGTTCACCAGGATACTTTGACCAAAACTGCTGACAATTCCAACCCCTTGTGCGGACGCGGGCTGCCTTGGTCCTTGGCCTGCACTATGTGCCAGGGTCATGCCACTTTGGTTTGGGTGCTGCAACATTTGGCTCATTCCTGTGCTCATATTATACATTCCTGGTTGGCTGGTAGATGTATTGCTGTAAGGAGTCATTCCCATCTCGGACTGACCAGCTGCTGTCGACATTGTGCCAGGGTTCTGGGAGGGCCCCATTGCCATCATGCTTGCATTCTGGGCCATCATTCGGGAGGTCCTCATGCTCTGAAGCGCTGCTTGGTTTCTCACTGCTGCTATATCCTGGGGAGAACCTACAGCAAGGAGGGGGAAAACTAAGTATTAAATCATACATCTTTGCATACCAAAAATTTTGTAGGAGCCTTTCAGATTGCTTTGCTTTTTGGGTGAATAAATTATTCTTTCATGTGACAGTTAAAGGAGAGAGGAGAAGGTTATGCATCCCAGGGAGGAAAAATCTAGTCCTCCTGGTATTCACATGTCAGACAGAACGTGCTTCCCCACAATGTTCTAGCTGTGACCTGAACACCGACCCACAAAGTCTCCTTTCCTTGAAGGTGAGAGGCGATACAGCTCCAGTGCTACCCTAAACAGGAATTGCTGATCATGTTAGGTATTCAATCTGCGAAGTGGAAGACTGTTCAGCAGAGAATACTATCAATACAGGCCATTAGACTAATTTCCCTGAAGACCTAAAATAGGGCTGGAGAGGTTAAAAGCCAATGACTTACCCGGTAAGCAATTCTCATTTATGGCAATTTTTGGATATGTCCCCCCAGAGATCCAGGGGCTTTTGGTGCCCCGTTTATCTTTAAAGTATCAAGGCAAACTGATTCTGGGCATGATCCAGCCTAAACCATCAGAGCCTTCTTGATAATGTACTATACAAGCTCCTCCAGTAAAACTGTGAGGTTTCAAAGCAGCAGGTACACTGCAGAGCCATTGGAGCAGCAGTACTGAGGCAGGGTTGCCCTTCTATTAGGCAGTGACTGATGATAAAATGTTCAAAAGACTCCTATGTCACTTAGATGCTAAGTCCCGTTTTAAAAATAATGTAGGTGCTTTTGAAATTTTTACCATAAGTCTAGAAAAATTGTAAATTACATACCAATATATAACACTAAATCATCTCCTCACTGGGGAAAACAGGAACCAGGGACCTTTTTTAAAGTTACACACATAAAGGTCTTCATTTTTCTAGCACTGTATGCAGCGAGCTGCACATATGTTATTCTTTTCAGACATGGGGCCCAATGCTGCTTCTATCAAAGTAAAAGACAAAACTCCTATTGGACTTCAATGGAAGCAGGATCAGGCTCATCATAGTGCATGTGATGGTTAGAAATTTACTTTGTCTGACTGAATTTCAAAGTAAATAACCAAACTTCAGTCAACCAGTTAAGACTCTCTTCTAAATATCTCCATTGTCTTTCAAAACGGAGCCATGAAAATGGAAATGTCAGACTCAGAAGGCCAATCAATTTTTTAATAGCTCAGGAGGCATAAATGAATGGATTTTCTATATCATTGTTACTGATTAAGTCTATGGAAAGAAGAAAAATGTTTTTTTCTGGACATGTAGAGCAGAGAGAGTGTATTAGTGAATCAATATTATAAGCACATTTTACTCCACCTTGGACCAATGACGGGAAGCCAGAAAATCCTAACCTTGTTAAATTCCACACCATGGCAGATAACTGCACCACGCTTGTGTCTTCCTGATGTGGGATTATCGATTTCTGGGAAGCCAATATGCCTCTGTATTTACTATCTTTATTTAAAAACAATTACAGAAATTCTGATTATGCCACAGGTTCACTGTGGTTTTGGGTCAATATCATACTGAACTAAAACAATAAAATACTCTGCAAGTGAAGCTCAAAGAGGATCACAGAATGAGGCAGACTATTATTCCCAGATCAAACATCATTAAGTTTAAATAAAAAAAATCTCTTGTAAGAGACAAACTAAACAACAAAAGCAAGACATGGTGTCCCTAAATCAGTCCTCACCACCATGGCATACTGCACAGATGAGTGTCAATCTGAAGGACACAGAACCCTAGGTCCTGTTACATAAGATGGATGGTTCTTCTTTGTGAGTATATAGAAAAACTGTGCTAGAGAAACCACATCCATATTACTGCACACATGGCTCAATGGATGGCCCCATCTCTTTTGCCTGGCACGTGGGATTGGGTATGGAGTGACATGCAAAATACAGGTAAGTGAAGTGTTTTGGAGAGTGACCAAAACACCTATAAAAACCAGATAATCCAATAGTTTTTACTTAGCCTATGTTACTGACAAAACAATTTTCTCAATGTTATATATTAGTGAGTCGCAGTTGTTTATGGTGTGGACCACCATCTCTCCCATTTATGACTGGGCAACTGTCTTCCCACCCATTGGCAAGCCCATAAAATTTTTATAGTGACGTCTGCAAGTATTTAAGTAGAAAAATAGTATTAGGAAAGTATATAATGCATTCTTAGCTGTCTTTTAATGCATGTTAGCAACTGGAAACAAACAGAAGAGTCAGCACCAGCCAATCGCAGTCTGAGCCAGACTACAATTTGAGAACCACAGTTTTACCTGCATAAGACACAGGAGCTCAGATAATGTGGTAGTTTAGAGAGAGAGGAATTTTAATATACTGGTGAAGTTCTGCTGTCAGCTACATCCATGCAACCCCAGTAAAGTCCTTTGGGTTATGTGTGTATAACCGGAGGGTAGAATTTGGCTAAATATTTTTATTGAAATTAGTTTATTTATGAAAACAAATCCCTTAATTGGTCAATTTAGACCAATTCTTCTCTCTATTTTCTTCTAAACAGTGGAGCTGGTGCAATATTTCAGAAGATTAATAAAGAAACATTTTGGGCAGCTGGTGGATACTGGTGAGCTCTGCTCAAGTCAGTGGAGCTGTGCCAGTTTACAGGCAGAGAGGATGTGGTTCTTTGTTCACATGGCTATATCCTGGTATCAATGTACATAAGAACACAAGAACAGCCATACTGGGTCAGACCAGTATCCCATTTTCCAAGAGTGGCCAATGCCAGGTGCTTCAAAGGGAATGAACAGAACAGGGCAATCATCAAGTGACCCATCCCCTATTGTCCAGTCCCAGCATCTGGCAGTCAGAGGCTTAGGGACACCCAGATCTTGAGGTTGCATCCCTGACCATCGTGGCTAATAGCCATTGATGGACCTATCCTCCATGAACTTATCTAATTCTTTTTTGAATCCAGTTATCTTTTTGGCCTTCACAATATCCCCAGGCAATGAGATCCACAGGTTGACTGTGCGTTGTGTGAAGAAATACTTCCTTTTGTTTGTTTTAAACCTGCTGCCTATGAATTTCATTGGGTGACCCCTGGTTCTTGTGTTATGTAAAGAGGTAAATAACACCTCCTTATTTACTTTCTCCACACGGTTCATGATTTTATGGACCTCTATTGTATCCCCCCCTTAGTTGTCTCTTTTCCAAGCTGAACAGTCAGTCTTTTTAATCTCTCCTCAAATGGAAGCTGTTCCATACCCCTAATCATTTTTGTTGCCCATCTCTGTACCTTCTCCATTTGTAATACATCTTTTTTGAGCTGGGTTGACCAGAACTGCATGCAGTATTCAAGGTGTGGGTTTACCATGGATTTATATAGTGTCATTATAATATTTGCTGTTTTATTAGCTATCTGTTTCCTAATGGGTTCCTAGCATTCTGTTAGCTTTTTTTGACTGTCGCTACACATTGAGTGGATGTTTTCAGAGTACCATCCACAATAATTCCAAGATCTCTTTCTTGAGTGGTAATAGTTAATTAAGACCCAATCATTTTGTATGTATAATTGGGATTATGTTTTCCAATATGCATTACTTTGCATTTATCAACCATTTAGTATGCATTCCTCACTTACAAATAGTCTGTTACTATTACTTCACACTATCACAAACAGATACTGCAACAATCGTGCTTTAGTCCTTTATATATTTAGATTGCATCATTGAGGAAGCCATTAAACTGGATCTTCATATTTTAAAAGCTCAAAATTAGTTGTGCCTAAAACAGGATATTTTCCCTAGGTTTTTCCACAACATACAAATGTCCTTGAAGTTTCAGACTTGTAAGCTATCTCTGTTAGTATCCAAGATTCTTAACTTTTTTCTATAGCTGACATTTCTGGCATGACTAAATCCATTCCTTGTCTGAATTAACATGACCTCTTCTGAAGGATAATCATCAAAAATCCCTTTCCAAAAAGGGAAGGAGACGGACTGAAACAAAGGTGGGGAGGAAGAAGAGAAGAACCAAGAGGGAGGGAGAGGCACTGGTTGAAATAAATTGTAATGGGGAGTGGGGAGAAAAGATAAACTCACAAAATCCAAGAGTCAAAGAGGCAGAACAGAGAAGAAAGAAAAAACTGACTGGGAGAATTTTTAAGGCGCAGATTTTATTGGAGAGCGCTAAAAGCCACTCAGAAATACAACTCTCCATGTAAAATTGTACAACGCCCTTCTGTGAAAGTGTGTTATATAAGTGTACATGTTAGTGTGCCGGAGGCAGAGAGAGAGAGATGGATCTTTTCTCTCGATACCCTCCCTAGCCTCCAACATACACAAATGAAATGAACTCCCAGATGCCCACTACAAAGGACAGCTCTGACTTGGAGGGTGTGAAAAGCATTTATTACTTTTACCTTGGAACTGACTGACTTGTTGCACTGGATACGAGTTCCGCTGCTGCTGGAGATGTTGCCGAGGCAAATGTGACTGCTGCTGCAACTGCTGGAAACGAATGAGAGAAGGAAAGACGGCAGAGGAGAAAAAGTTGATTAATGAATGAATGACTGAGTATGACCATTCTGAGACTGGCTGCAATGACAAACAGCAGCTCAGTTGCAGCAATTGCTAGCAAGCTGTTCTGGGGAGACAAGTGCTGTGTGTCAGCAGGCAGGCAAAGTGTGCAGCTGCCTCATGTGAAGAGTCCTACTGAGAGTACTTGGAGCACTCAGCACACGGGCTTCTTTTTGGTTCAAAAAGGAACCAGCACTTAGACTCACATTACCTATCCCTACTCATAAGCACTTCCTAAGTAGCAGTATAATTGTCTCCAACCTAGAGGGAGTGGAAGGGAAGAGAGGAGATGGGAGGGAATATTTTTAGAAACGTCTTTGTCCATCAGCATGAGAGGTGGGTCCGAAATGAAACTCTGGATCCCAAATCCCTTGAGCTCTGGCAATGTTCCCTTTTGGATCCAGACTTAGTGGCTCGCCTTGATCTTTAGAATGAGGAGAACACACACACTCTGGATTCATAACAGCCCCAACTCTGAGGACTGCTGGTTCCAGATCTGAACTTTGTGGCCCAGGCCCATCTCTATCCAAAACAAAAAGAGATGCTGGGGCCCAATTCCCCTCCTGCTTTCCCCCCATCCTACCCATTTTTTGGTTTTGTTTTGTTGTTTCCATTTGCTTGTTTTATTACCACGTACAGTAGCACCACAGATGTGCTGATAACTCATTCAGGACAAGTGAATTGGTCTGAGATAGCGAGTGATTGTGAAATGCCTCTGTGTCCTGATTTGTTACACAGCTGTGTTGAGCTGTCTCTGGTGGCTGCAGTATATGAATATTCTTCATTTATTTAAAGCACACTCAAATGTTGATGGTGAATATAAGTAGAAGCCAACTGATGTCTGGGTTTATATGTGCCTTCAAAAGATTAGTGGGTGCTCTGCAAAGCAGCTCTCATAAAACCCTGAGGTTATCTGGTTGCTTCATCAATGTACTGTACACAGACTCAGAGCCCTCTTAAAAAGCGATGGCTTACATATGTGCAGAGATATGGCAAGAGAGGGAATGAAAACCGACCTACTGTACCTTGATTCCTTGTCCTACAAATGTTCATTATAAACTTCCGTTCACAATATATAGACTCCCCCAGCTCACAAAAAGAGCCATAAGAAGAACCCACTGCTGAATAAAGAATGTGTAGGAATCACAGCACAACTTTGAAAAATGTATTAGCAAAACACAAAGAGAAAAATCGTTTGATACAATTTCCAGTGCACCAGAAAAAGCCAGGAATCTAAGAGGACCTAATCTAAGTTATGTGTGATACAGCTGATCGTACAGCTGCTGTTTCCCAATACCTTTAGGGTCTGAGTCTCCACTGACTGAACACCTGTGAAAGTGGGTGTAAAACACTACCATTCTGATTGGGCAGCTTAACACCCATTTTCCACAGGCACAAAGATGACACAAAAGGCAAGGCAAGTGAGAATCAGGCCCTAACACTGAATTCAATTTCAGCCTCTAATACTGGAATACAGAGCCACCATTTGCCATGCTACTACAGAAAAGATGGAGTCAGGTGGTGCCTCCCTTATAAACCGAGGTCCTGATTCTGATCTCCTGCATAGCAGTGTAAATGGGGAGCAGCTCTAGGAATCACTGGGAATATACTGATGTGAAACTGGCTTGAGATCAGAAGCAGCGTTTATGCTTTTCAAATGTACTTTTCAGTTCACTCCAGGCTGACAATTCAGTGTACACTAATTCTGTTCTCACTTGTACCAGTTTTACACCAGCATAACTCCACTGACTTCAGAAGTGTAGCTCTAGATTTACATTGGTATGAAATCAAAGTCAAGGCCAAAGTATAAGCCAGGGGACAGGAAATTAGTTTGACCATGCGTTTACTACATCCATCACAGTTTGAGAATATGAATACAGATGAGGAGAGGCTCTGCTATGAGGTTTCCATTGCACCCGTTCTCATGTGTGTGGGTATTGTACTGTCTGAAATACAGAAGAAGAGCTACAGTACCTGCTCTGCCAGGATCTGCTGCTGCTGCCTTTGCTCCCTTAGAAACTGTTGCTTCTGTTGCTCCATCACATGGAGCTGGGCCCTTTGCTCAATCAGCATCTGCTTCATGATGGCTGCTTGTGGCTGATTTCCCAGGAAACTGGGACCTCCTGGGTTTGCACCCGTGACCACGTTGCTGGAGCCTGGTGGGACAGAAGGCTGCATAGGGCCTGTGGTCCGAGAAAGTCCCACCGGATGCTGTTCCTGTACAAAGAAAGAGATACGGCTTCACTACTCAATGTACTCCACATACAAGGGGAAAGTATGGACCAGGACCAGTAAGTGGTGGACTCGCTTGTGAACCTAACAGACCTTAGAAAAGGAAAGAGGCCTCTGAAAACCCCACACCCAACCAACCAATTTCATATAGCACATTCCAAATGGAATAGGTATTAGACTGAATTATACGTAGCACCCACATAAACTTATGTTGAAAGCACTGCACAGAAGTTAATTATCAAGATCCTTACAGCTGCCTTGCTACAGATGGAAGAATTTACTATTTCCATTTTACAGATTGGGAAAGTGAAGCAGAGAAGTGATTTGCCCATCACCTAGTGAATCAGCAGCAGTGCTGTGTTTAATAGGACTTCCAAACTCCAGCTCTGAGCTCATCAGTATTGCCAACTGCAAGCATTCAAAATACATGGATTGGGACCCGAAAAATAAAGAGATTTTCTTTAAAATCATGAGAACAATAACAGTTGGGTTCTTTTTATTTTCCTTAAGGTTTCTGAGCCTTTAGGAGTCATGTTTTCAAACTTTTTCTCTGCAATCATGAGGATGAGAAACTGTTTTAAAAAAAAACCAAACAAACAACAACAAAAAGGAAACAGATTCTCACATCATCATTTGACTCCAGGAGCTGGAGCTTTAAGAAAATCCCTAATTACTGTGAGACGCATTAAATCTTGAGAATTGACAACACCGATTCCTGTAGACTACAGCAGGGTTCGAGATTTAACCACAAAATAGAATCATTTAAGGTTCATACCCCAGTCACATTGTGAGAACTTGGGGCTGAGGAAGCAGGAAACCATTGTGATATGGGTACTTCTGCCTAAAATGACCCCAGAGCCCCCCTATGTCTCCAATCCAATGTGTCGTACAGTTGTGTTGGGGTAGGGACTAAAAAGGGAGAGGCAGGCTGGATTTCAAGGTCATTCTGGCACCTATTCACTCTTAACCCATCATCTTGTCCCCCTCCCCCATTTCCCATGGAACTGCACACAGTGTTTGCCAGAGCTGTGGAAGGGACCAGCTCTGTGAACAGCATCTATCCTGTTTTCCCAGGGTGATCTTTTTGACTAGAAGGTTTTGTTGGGTGCCTTCCAGGTCAATGGCTAAGGGCTTGTCTACACTTACAGCACTGCAGCGGCACAGCCGCATTGGTGGAGCTGCACCGCTGTAGCCCTTAGTGAAGATACTACCTACGCTGACTGGAGAGCTTCTCCCATTGGGGTAGGTACTCCTCCTCCCTGAGAGGCAGTAGCTGTGTGGATGAGAGACGCCCTCCCATCAACATAGCTCTGACTGCACCAGGAGTTCAGTCAGTAGAACTATGTTGTTCAGGGGTCTGGATATTCCACACTCCTGAGCAACGCAGTTATACTGACACAAGTTGGCCATGTAGATCGTAGCTAATGCAAAGAAACCCACAAAGGATGAGAGGCGTGTTTCACAAACACTGCGTCCCTCAAAACTCACGTCTGTTTTATGAAATCTTTAGCAGCTGTATGCCTCTAATAAGGCCCAGTGCACCGCCCAAACCCCCACTGAAACCATGAGTCAGGGGCTGAAGTGCCACACAGGACCCTCTCCATGGGGGTACAATGCAGCCCAATTTATTAATCCGTATGTGTCCTGTTACTACAGGCGGGTCCCAGGGGATGGGGACGCCTGTTTCTAAAAATGGCTAGTGCTGCTGTTCTGTCTCTGCACCAGCAGATGGTGATATTCGCCTGATCCTCCACCATTCGGCCCAGCTTGGTGATTGCTGCCCTGTCTCTCCCTCTCTTCCCCCCACCCCCACAGTTGCAGATGGCTTAATCATGACTACTGTTCCTCCTCCTCCCCCCCCCGCACTCCCCCCCCTCAGTACGTCTGGGATAATGCTGCTAACGTAGAGCTAGGCAGTCAAGTGTTACAGCGTAGGGCAGGTAGCCTGGCAACTGAGAGTATAATACTGAACAGATGGTGTTCGTACAGCATGATGGACATCACACACGACAGCCTGAGACAATCCAGGAATTCCCTGGTGTTTTGAGGCCCTCTTTACACAAAATGAGCTCGCATCACCGTTGCCATGTATCTGTTGGTTTCCCCCCCAGCTCTCCCATTGACATCTAACCAGCAAACTGGCTACCTATTATTCACTTTACCTACAGCTCAAAGGGCACGTTATTTGGTGATGGTGGAGGCAACACGCTGAGATTTCAAATTAGGGTGCCCTGAACTAGACACCGAGGCTTAGCTATTCGGAACAAGGAGGAGGAGGAGGAGGAGGGAGCTTTCCAAATCTTTGTTTCAAATCAGGGCCCTGGCTTTCCCCAATGAAAATAATTTGAGGTGTGTGTGTGTGTGGGGGGGGTGCATGACAGAGAGAGAGACACACACACACAGTTTTATGGCACGCCAGGGCGTGTACCTCTTAAGGTAAAGACTTTAAAATACAATGGGTCATTTGTGGGACATTGTGATTCATGTCTGAATTATCTATCCCAATACCCCTGGGTGTTATTTAGCCCTCTCGACAGCATGGATGTTTAAAGGAGCCCTTAAAGAAGACAGTAATAGATGGAAACCTCACACCCCAAATCCCTCACCCCACCCTGCTTTCCCAAACAAAGAAACAAACAACTCTTCCCCCTGGTGAGAGCTGCAGGCAGAACTGCAGTGCACCGGCTCAGACTCCAAATTCAATGCGATACTGAGGGGACTCCTGACACTTCTTTTACAGAGCATGCTGCTATTTACTAATGAGCTCAGGAAGCGAAGACATACCCAGGCTGTCAAATTTCCAAACACCAAACAACGCATAATGTATGTCTGTGGTTGGGAAGGAAGCAGGGGAAGAAGGAGCAAAACTCGAGGAGAATTTTCAGAGGGAGAGGAGAAAAACGAAAGACAATAGTCTTTCTGCTACTAAATTTACCAAGACATAGCAATAGGTATATAAGAAAACCAAACAGTGCTCTCTCTCCCACCCCCATCCGCTCCAAGCGAGGGTGCTGCTGAGTTTTATTCAATGACTAATGGGTTTATTCCATCTTTTCATATCTGACAATTTTTCCTGACACTCCCTCACTGCCAGTGTCCCCTGCTAGCAGTGATTTATAGGTGAGGAAATAGGATTTCTAGGGCTGAGGTCAGAAGGACATCTGGCTACAGGCAGTACCAGCTTGCACTCACTGAGGGCTTGTCCACACTTACAGCTGCAGCAGCACAGCTGTGCCGTTGTAGCACTTAGTGAAGACACTATCTACTCCAACTGGAGAGCTTCTCCCGTGAGTGCAGGTACTCCACCTCCATGAGAGCTATGTCCACAGGAGAAAACCTCTGATTGACAGAGGGCTGTCTACACCAGGAGTTCAAGTATAACAGCATCGCTGAGTAGTTTGTAATTTAGACTAGGGCTGAGAAAGATCTGGGACAAGCATTCAAGGCTCTTCTAGGGCTGGCCTCTGGCTCCCTGCACAATATGCACGCACCCTGCATCATGAAAACTACACCTAGTTTAAGTCCTGCTTCTAGGGTGGGCATTGTCTACACATGCCTAGAGCCAACCCAGGCTCTCTGAATCCACAGTGTCATGGGGATTTTTTTCAGAGTAGTAGCCGTGTTAGTCTGTATCCGCAAAAAGAACAGGAGTACTTGTGGCACCTTAGAGACTAACAAATTTATTAGAGCATAAGCTTTCGTGGACTACAGCCCACTTCTTCGGATGCATCCGAAGAAGTGGGCTGTAGTCCACGAAAGCTT